CCCTGGCCTGGCTTCCCTCTGGCCACATCACCCCCGCCTGCTACCTCTGCCACCGGGAGACTCCTGCGTCAGGTGTCAGGCCACTGCACTGCCCTACCCAAATCCCCTGGGGCCCCACAGTCCCTCTGCCATGCCACCCTCATGCCCCGCTGGCCTCAAAGCCATCTGGCCCCAGTACCATCTGGCCTCACCTGCACCCAAAGTCCAGCACCAGCCTTTGCCTGTGAATCTCCAGGTGCTGCTCCCACTGCAGGGAACCCCACTCCCGCACTCCTGCAGACCTCCCCGTCCCAAGAGCTCCCCCTTAGCCCTGGACCCTTTATCTCGGAGCCCCCATGCCCCACCCTGCACATGCCCAGGAAGCAGCAAGCATCCTCGTCCTTTTCGCCCGCCTGAGAGCATGGTGAGGACAGGGCCCCGACCACACCACCACCCAGGGTCACCCCCCAGAAAGCAGCCACTGAGCAGACTCCGTGCTTCCTGCTAGGGCCGTGTGGCCCTCCCTGACTCGAGCTTGCCTGGGGGGGTGACATGGGTGGGACATAGGTCGGGAAGAAATCTAGTGTCTCCTGTTCACCGTCACGCTGAGCTTGGACAGAAGAGGTGTGGCCACACAGGGGGCAGGAGCAGACAGTGGCCCCACCGTGGCCCCCTGCAGGGGATTTGGGGCAACTAGGGGTCTGCAGACCCTGGCCTTCTGTGGCCAGATGGAGCCAGGGCCCGACAGGGAAGGGCGGGTCCTGACCAACTGTTTTCTCAGAGGCTCTTTCTCTGAAGGACACTGGTTACTTTTCATCTAGCCCACAGGGGACGGGGAAGGGGTCTGTCTGTGTGTCCCGGCCAGGGGGCTCAGTAAGTGAAGCTGGGGGCAGCGCTCCTGGTATAGACCCCTGTGCGCCACATGACGGGGGACTGTCCAGGGTCACAGCAGAATGCGGCCAGCTGACCCGGGAACCTGGGGTGGGGTCGTCAGGCCTCATCCACGGCACTTTGGGAAGAGCCCAGAGGAAGCACAAGGCGGCGCTGCCCGGACTGCGTGTCCCACTTCCTGTGGGACCTCCACCAGGTGCAGGGAGGAGCAGACTCTGGGCCCAGAGCCAGGCAGGTCCCTGCTGCCTCCCAGAGGGAAGCCATGCCGCCAGCCCCCCTTCGCCTGTCTGCTCTCAGGGTGGGGGTGGATGGGGGCCAGGACTGGGGGGCTGGGGGCCTCCCACAGGAAGCACGGCTGAGCTCCAGAGAATTACAGGTTGCAACACCAGCAGAGCCAGAGCCAGCCCCAGGACATCCTCCCTCATGGATCCAGGGGTGCACCTGCGGGGTGGCTGCCAGGAAGCCGCCTCAGCTGCAGGACAGGACAGAGGTTTCCAACCGGACACCTGGGAGGGCTTCCTGTGCTTGCTGACAGGGTGTGCCCCCCACCCGGCTGCCAGGTGGGGAGTGGTATTAGGAAAACACGCCTTCCTTCTCCTGACACAGCACTTCTGACACCAGAGGCGTGGAGACCCACACGCCAGAAAGCTCCTGCCACGCCGGCCAGCATCCTGGAACTCCATCCAGTTCTGACGCTCACAGGTCAGTGTAGACCCACAGGTGAGGGTCAGGCCCACAAGACAGCCCCGCTTAGACCCTAATCATAAGCCCCAAGTTGTCACCTGTACATCTGACCTACCAGCTATAAATCGGGGTTCCAGTGACTCCCTCCTCCCAGTTGATCATTTGCCAGGAGAGCTCACAGAACTTAGGGAAACACTTGCTGTTGGCAGCCAGGTATTATCTGATAAAGGAGGTGCATAGGATGCAGGTCAGCAGATGAAGGGGTCCAGGGGGACGGGACCCCTCCAAGCATGCCACCCTTCTGCACCTCTCCTTGGAGGTGGAAGTGAGGTCAGAGTGGCCACAGGCTCCTCCCAGGCATGACCTCCAGGCCCAGGTCAGAAGGATATGCTCAATTCTGACTGGCCCCTGCATCACTTGCCCCGGGGAAGCGGCCACCATGCTGTAAGGACACGCAAGCAGCTTTGCGGAGGGGCCCGTGGAGGCCACCCTGGAGGTCAGTCCTCCATTCGCAGGCAAACCTTCAGAGCACAGGCCTCCCCGTCGCGAGGCCCCAGGCCAGAACCACAAGGCTAAGCCACTCCCAAGCCACTGACCCTCAGAAACCATTTCAGTTAGTAAATGTGTATTGTTCCTGCTGAGTCACTAAATCTGGGGGTAATTTGATATACAGAAATAGAAAACCCATGCGACCCCACAAAGCAACTGTTATTTGAGGCCATTTATTTGGGGAGTGGCAGTTAGGAGCCTCTGAACTCCCCACAGCCAATTTAGGCACGCCTGGACCTCCCAGTGAGAGCAGGACAGGCGCTGAGCAGGACGGAGCAGATCAGGGCCCATGCGGCTGCTTCTGTGCCCCCATGACAAAGCGCAAGGAGCAGTGGAGGAGCTGAGATTGTCCGGAAGGGACCAGGAAAGTGCTTTCAGCTCGCACGCCCAGTCACAGCCTGTGGGGCAGGTGCAGGCAGGGGAATGACATTTCTGTAGACTAAGCCCCCAGGTTTATCACCTGGGGAAGCCCAGCCGCTGTCCTGGGCACTGTCCCGGAAGGGGAAAACGCCCGCAGGGATTACAGTTCCCAGAGGAGCCGGGAGGTGAAAGAGTGCGCTGGAGTTGAGCCAGGCTGAGACTGGCCTCCAAGGCCCGCAAATGAGGGTGAGGCCTGGACAGGGGGAGGGCAAGACCCAGCGCTGACGTGAGGTGAAGTCCCTGAAACTTGCTCCCCTCGTGGAACACCAGTCCTGCCTTAAAATTCCCTTGTCTGCGGCGCTTGAATGAGACGAGGCTGTCAAGGAAGCTTTGCAAAACAAAATGTACCTACAAATGAACATGTCAGCCCAATTCTTCATAAGAAGGGCCTCTCTGCCATTTCTAAGATATAACAATTAAAACTGAAACAAAAAACAAAACCATACACCAGAAACAGGGAGAAAATGGAGACCCCAGGCCCTTGGCAGAGCCCAAGGACCTGTGCTCAGTTCCAGCATGGTGCTGGTTCGCTGTGTGACCCTGAGCAAGTTGTCAGCTTGTTTATAAAGCATGGAAGTGAGAAACCTCCAAGGTTCCTTCTAAGCCAACCACTTTGTGAATCTGCGCTCAGTGCCTCCTGGGTAAGCATCTGGGGAAATGCATCAGGAGGATTTCCCTTGCACTCAGAGGAGCTCGCTAAAATCACTTCACAGAGTCTCTGTACCTTCTGACCCATTCTTTTTTTTTTTTTTTAAGATTTATTTATTTTTTTTTAATTTTTTTTTCTTTTCTCTTTTTTTTTTTTTTTAAGATTTATTTATTTATTTATACAAGCACTGGGCACAGTCAGAAGCGCGGGAGGGTGAGAGAATTCACCAGAGTCAGAGCGGGGAACAGAACAGGCAGACTGACGAAATACATTGCTGAGGGGAGCAGCGGGTGCAGCAGGAGAGGTCTGTCGCGCCCACGTGGGACCCCCGCCCAGAGGCCGGGGATGGATCTAGTGCTGCAGAGGCTACAGGCAGCTTCGCAGCCCAGCGCTGTGCCACCAGGGGAGGCCCTCCTTCTAACCCATTTCTGTCTGCTGGAATACCATCTATTCATAGACCAAGAGGCTCAAAACAATATAATAAATTAAATTAATAGATAGATGCCGAATTTTGTGCCCCAGGGCACAGATTATTGGATTACTTTGTGCCTTGGATTATTGGTAGAGCATTTGCAGAAATATATCAGGTACTTATGTGTCTAAAAATATAACTTCTCCAAATTACAAAGAAGTAATTATACAAATCATTGTCCAAACTACAAACTCTTAATAAAAGCTAAACTAGAAAGCTAAAAGTCTGAAAATTGAAAGTAAATAGATTTGAAGACTATAACAGTCTTGCAATGGAGCTCAGAAAATAAGTTACAACAGAAAATCAGAATATGACTCGTCAAATCCTGTCACGTGCCATGACACTGGGGCCGGGCCACTCCCCAGGAAAACAAGCAAGGCTGGAAAAAACTATTAACAACCCAACAGCAACATTTCAAGTCTCTGAGAACTGTGCTGAAGATATATGAAAAATGAAAAATGAAGAAGCATTTATTCAAGAAAATTCACTAAACTCAGTAAAAACAGCAAGAGTCAGGCATGCGGAGACCACCTCTCCCTCCCAGCCCTGCTCAGCTTCCAGGGAGTCAGTTTCCTCACCCCCAGCTCCAGGTCAAGGCTTATCTTATCTCTCCCAAGAGGACATTTCTCAACCCCTCCAAGTCCAATGTCAAAGGTCCAAATTCTTGTGGAGTGCGGGCAAGAGTCCAGTCACCTCCCTCCAGCCACGACCCACTGGACAGAGGCTGTACCGCAAGAGACCAAAATGACTGAGGCCCCAACCCCCTGGTCCCGTCCGAAGGCCCAAGAAAGGGGCAGCTGAGTATGGCAGAGACACCCAGAGTTGCAGCTCAAAGTTTGTGCAGGAGGGAGTCAGGTCATGAGAATGGAGAGCTTTGAAGTTCTCCCCAAAAGAACTCTATTTAAAGAGAATTTGGGGAAGCTCAAGCCTAAGGCGTGCTGGAAAACAACAGCTCCTCTTAATTAAGAGCAACAGCTAAACCAAAACTAGCTCATTTACCAGCAAGAATCAGGGAAAGAGACAGCCAAGAAAATCTCTTCTGGGCTCCACACAAACCTCAAAGCCTGGCCTCTAGGCCTAATCCTGCCTGAATTCAGTTGGATCAGGCAGTGGAGCATTTTACGCCCAAGAGCATTTTTGCAAACAATAAAAGCAATCAGCAGGTGATTAGTGGCATCTACTGGGCTGGGTGTATTTCCAAAGGAAGCAGACAGCACAACAGAGATCTGGGAAAGAAGCCCACAGAGGGCCCTGCGAGGTGTTCTGGGCCTGCCAAGGGCCTGCGTCTTTGGTCTGCCGTCTGGGTGTGTCTGCCGTCACAGCTGCAGTCACAGACCAGTGACGAGCAGGACTGACCTTGACAGAATGCGGACTCCCTGGTGCTTAGGAAGCCAAGGTTCAACAGTCAACCTCTTCGGGCCCTAGGAGCACAAAAGAGAGAAAAAATTACTTATGTAAACTTTTCTCTGAGACTTGCCTTTACAGACAGAGCAGAGCCTGACCGTTTGTAGACTAACCTTGAGCTGAGCAACGAGGCCAGACACAACTGCGCAGGAGGGGCTACCCAGAGGCAAGGGGCCCACCATCAGGAACTCAAGTTCCTGTTCATCCTCCTACCCTTTCCTGTCTGCTGGAGTATCGTCCTGTCCTGTAACTAGCCAATAAGCCAGCCTCGTTGTAAGGGCAGGATGGCCCTGTGCAGGTTTCCTAGGATCCCAGCAGACCGGACCGGGTAAAGGAGGAGTCCTGGAGCCCTCGGTGGCTTTTCAGGCTTTTATTGGGATTTACCGGGTACACGGCAGGCAGGGGTGCTGGGGGGCCGGGAGGCTGGCAGGTCTCCCAGCCCCCAACAAGTCTTCACTCTGTCTGGGCTCTCCGGCCTTCTCTGGTGGTCTCTGCTTCTCTTTCGCTCTCTCGCTCTCGTTCTCTCTGCTTCTCTGCTCTCGTGGTTCTTCTGGTGTCCCCGTGACACCGCCCTTATGAGCGCGGTATGAGCCCAGGTGAATCCCATCTACCTACACCCACACCCTACTCCAGGTGCCGCCATCAGGCATGTATTCAGGACCTCAAGATACCGTCATCTATCCTAATGGCGGGAGGGCAGAAAAGCCTGATAGAATTTACTTACCCTACACTAGTCTGCGTTTCTTTGCCCCTAACATGCCCCTCAGCCAATAAAATTTAACTCCTTTGATCTCAACTCTGGCCCCAAAACCTATACAACCTCATTCCCCTTCTTCATTGGGGAGGTAGATTTGAGTTTATCTCCTATCTCCTTGCTATTTAATTTGCAATAAAGCTGATATATCTTTTAAATGTCTGACATCATAATCTGATCTACGCACTGGGTAGCCAGCCCATTGTCCAGTAACATTTATAAATGCAGCATCTGCAAATCTTCTCTGAAAGCCAAAACTCTTGGCCACTTCTTCAGCAGCAATTCCAATCACAAAATATTTGGAAATAAAATCATTAACCTTTCCCCCACGGTAGCGGGTAGGGTTGGGGGAAACGATCCAGTACCCAAGGTAGGACATGGCAGACAGAGGCAGCTCAGTGGACCAGCCACTGCTCTCTACATTCCTCACAGGGCTCAGAGGCTGCTAGAGTCCACCCAGAAATGTTCTGGCAAATCTCCCCCAAAACTGTGATGAAGGCCTATCCCTTGGTACCTGCAATGGTGACCTTATTTGGGAACAGGTGTGGGGTGGGCCTTCGACCTATCTGACTCCTGGCCACAAGGGACAAGGCAGCCACACGGAAGCTGCCACACTGTGAGGGAAACAGAGACCACAGCTGCAGGCCAGGGATCATCAGCCATCCCCAGATCTGAGAGGCAAAGAGGGATGGTCTGCCGGGTCCTGCAGGAGAATGGACCTGCTCACAGCTTGATTTCAGACCAGGACGGCAAGACAAGGCATTACCTTAAGCCACCCAGTGTAGAGAACCTTTTTGTGTCTTACACCAGCCCCCAGCTCTGAAGCCCCAGAACCTCTGTCAACAGGTGCAGAGATGGCAGGCCTGCAGACCCCCCTGGAGAGGAGGCTGGGGCAGGGGTACGGCCCAGGGCAGGCAGACAGAAGAGGGTGGCCAGGACATGAGAGGGAGAGGGTGGTCTCAAGGGAGAGAGACAAAGCAAGCTGGCTGCACTCTCAGGCAGGACCTCCCCGGGGAGGAGCCCAGGAGAGCCAGGTCTGTGGATTCTGAAATGGCTGGGGAAGAGTCAAGTCTCCTCGCTGCAAATTCGAAAACCCAGGAATTCCTGCCAATTGAAAAGAAGGAGGAGGAAGCCCCCCGACACATCCCCTTTCCTGCATTAACAAATATTTGATAACCCCAGGTCCGCCCTTACCCCAAAACCCCAGCCAAGCTCACACCAGACTCAACCCTGCTTTCTCATCAGGCTACAGCGATGAACCCCCAACTCAAGGGACTTCCAGTGATTTCTCCTTTTCCAACAGCCGGAAGGAAAAAAACAGCTCGGATCTGAAAAGCAGAGGGAGAATGAAGAAAGCGCAGAAGCCCTAGGCATTTTTTTTAACCACTAACTGGGCAATGAATAATTTATAGCAAGAATGTTTGTGGGGGGATAAAACTGTTGACAAGTCAAGAAAAACCTCTTAGCAGCCTAACGGAGCAATCCATCTTCAAGAACAGGTTTCGGATGCACAGCTTGCGAAGACACTGGCTAAGGCTGTTTTCTTTCTCTTTCTTTTTTCCTTTTTTTTTTTTTTTTTTATCTATATGGAAATTGGTGGGGGCTGAAATACGTTTCAGTTCAGCAGGAACTTGGGCTGAATGATCTCCCAGGCAAGAATTAAATCATTGCTTCATGCAGCAAGAAATAAACACCCGAGCCAGGCTGGAAGCCCGGGCGCAGGTGGTGGAAGAGCAGGGAGTTCCGGGGAGCTGCATGGAGGGGGTGGTGTTCCAGGCACCGGGGGCTCGGAAGCTCAGCTCAGACTAACTGAGCAAGGTGGGGGCTTCACGTAGAACGGCCCTTGGGACGCCTCAAGCAAAGCCACGGGCACAGCTGAGACTTCCCTGACCTTGAAGACTGGGCAACCTCCCTACATCCTCCCAGCACCGGGCACCGGGAGGGCTTCTCAGCAATGGCAGCTGCACGGAAGATGTGGCACTTAGAGTTATGGCTGTTTCAGGGTCAAATTTGTCCCGTGCACTCACCATGCTCGGTGCCAAGCTCCCTCCTCACACCCCATCTCTTGGCCCGCAGCTCTCGGGCTGGGACCGACTGGCCAGTTCCGTCACTTGGTGGCTTCCCTACTGGCCCAGGAGGGCCACTTGGGAGCAGAAGCTCAGGGAGGCCTCTGACTGCAGAATGGTCACATGAGGCAGGGTAGGGCCTGGCTTGATTTTCCAGAAAGCAGCAGGTGAAGAAAGCACCCCCTTCATGGTCTCATGGCCTCTGAGCCCCTGGGTAAGGCTAGGGTGGCCAAGGCTGGGCTCTGAGGCTCCTGGGAGGGGGCGAGGCACCTGTGCATCCTAACAGTTCCGTTGCTCTGTGGCAAATGACGCTCCTTTGCTGCTCTGGAAACACTGGTCTGAACTGCTGCCCCAGACGTGGGGCCCAAGGGAGCTCAGAGTCCTCATGCCCAAGGTGGGGCTGGAGCCTGGGGGCACTGCAGGGGCTGCAGTCCTTTCAGGGCCCGCTCCTGGCTCCCCAACAGGTGTTATGCCCCCTGAGTCCTCCATGGTGCTGGAGCTTCAGGACCCCCTCCTGCTCCCTACAGAACACCCTGCAGAGTGATTAGGGGGCCCCAGGGTGCACAGCCCCCAGAGACTTAGGAGAAGGCATTTTTGTTTTCATCTCCCTCCCATAGTTGACACAAAACTCCTCTAAAGTAAAGCAACACCCAGACCCCAATCTCCTAGCACAACCCCATCCCCTAAACCTCGCCGTGAAGGTAATGATTCCAAAGTGGGAACCCCCTGCTCTCCTGCCTGCTGGGCCCTGGGTGCAAGTTTCGCACATGCTCAGACCTCTCTGCTGGCCGCTCCTGGGCCCTGCATGTCCTTTCGTGTGAGGCTTCTTGGTTGCTAAAAAGATGAGGACAACAGGATTTCCTGCAGGATTTCCTGTCGATTGCAACAGGATTTCCAGACTGGCCCATCTAACGGCCTCCTCCGGAGTGGATTTGCATCACTTCTGCTCCTTGGCTTCACTAATTTCTCCTCCTGCATAATGGCCTTGGGGATGAGCTCTGGAACAGTCTGAGCAGCTGATCTCAGAAGAGCAGCCCAGCCCGGAGGCCCAACCACACCCCATGTCCTGCCTGGTCCTGGTCACGACTCAAGACTTGTGTCCTCCCCTCCGGCCTCGCAGGAGTGCGGGCGGGTGTCAGGCTCCTGACCGCTGTGTGCCTCCTGCTGGCGCAGAGCCTGGCACGCAGGGGTGAGCTCCCTGCTGAACCTGCCTGGGGCCCCTGGCACCTGCCCACACCTGCCGTGTGACAGGGAAGCCCCTCAGGGAAGGGGCCACCCCCACGAGCCCTGGAGCTGGCTGTACCCCATCTGCGTAGCCTCCCCCGATCCCAGAGAGTATGGTCCCGCTACACCCCAGAAGCATCTCAGAGTTCAAGGCATCCCCACCTTAATTCCCTCCAAATCCCCTGGGGCGGCCAAGGCCCACCCCAAACCCCCACCTTGGGTCCAGGCCGGCAAACACCGGGTCACCGAAGACACGGTGACAGCTGTGGCTTCTCACACTGGGCCCTGCAGGGAGCTCTCCATCCCTACCAAGAGCCTGGGACCAGAGGCCTCGTGGCCTGTCCCGGGGCCACAGGCTTGTCAGAGTCCGCTGTGGGCTCATCCTCAGGGTCACGGCTCAAGGCTATCCCGGGAACATCAGGAAAAAGTGCATCCCAGAGGGAAAGTCAGGGCAGGTCCTCATCGACCCCATGTTCTTGATCTTCATCTGACCTGGCCCAACCCTGTCCCTGTCCTCGCCGTGAAGGTAATGATTCCAAAGTGGGAACCCCCTGCTCTCCTGCCTGCTGGGCCCTGGGTGCAAGTTACGCACATGCTCAGACCTCTCTGCTTGCCACCCAGCTCGCTGCACACCCCATGTGGAAGAGACTCGCATCCCCTTCCTGGACCAAGGACCATGACCCAGGCCTCCCCAGCCGCATGCCCCAGACTCAGCCTGCTGCCTCTGTCTCCCCAGAACCCTCCAGACCCCTCAGGCTGGGCACCCTGATTGTGAAGACACCCTCCTCCTAGGGTGTCTCCTTCCCTGAGAAGTGGGTCCTGTTGTGGAGGATGCCAGGCTCGGAGGCATGACCCAAAGCGGCCCCGTGGCAGCCTCTGCGCCCACCCCTCGGCCCCCCGACTCTGCTGTGCGCTGGGAGCTCATCAAGTGAATGCCACTTCCGAGGTGGAAGAGCCACTTAGGAGGTTAATAGCAAGTGGATAGAGCAATAAATATAATGATTTAATTCTTCAAGGATGGCTAAACAGGCTGCTGTTTACCAACGTCTTAGCAGATAATTACTAGCAGATAATTAGGAAAAGCTGCCGGATTACCGCTGGCCCAGAGGCGGCCACAGCCCCATCCACTTCTCTGAGCTAAGTAAACAGG